ATGGCTATTGGGTATTACAATCTACGAGTGTTCTCATACATGTAAAAAGTTTCTTCATCATAAAACTGTTGAATTCTGAATAAATATCAGAAAAATATTAAATCACATATTCTTTCTACATGCATAAAATACGTGAAGCATGTTTATACTGACAAGGGCAGACTCCACAGTAGTGTAAACAGTAATGCCGAGTAAAGGTATTCCAGACATATCCCTCACATTCAAACTTCCCACAGTCGGCCATTTTGTCCACACAAGCACCATCTTTGAAATTAACGTTTAATGACTTACGTAATTGCAAAGAAAAATATTATCTTTAAAAGAAAAAAATAACGAAATAAAAAAACAATGCTTCTTATGATTTGTTGACAAGCACTCATTCAAAAGCAAGTGTTGACATGCATTTTTCTTGACTCTTGATTTAGGGGACATATGCACACATATTGCAACACTTATCGCATTGTTCCAATGGAATATGAATCAATTGTGTCCGAAGATATATTAAAAACAAAATAAAGAATTGGAAAGAGTCTCCACCTCCTGCAGCGAGCTCTTGATCTCTAAAAGTTTGAAAAAAATCATTCATTGTGATTCTAGAATTATTTTCTAGAACTGAGCAGTAAGTCTAACCTTATGATTTTAAAATCTTTATTAAAATTTAGTAATTAAAAAAGTTACTTGTCGACCGTTAAAACATATGCAATCAATAATACCAAAAATGTATACATAATCTCCGGAAAACAGAAGTTTCGATCAGTGTCCTTTCCCTAAATGTTTAATCGTTGATCTTCTTTAGGTTTAATGACAAGCACTATATAAGCAAAGTCCAGATCTCTGGAGAACGCTATTTTACTTTATCTGGACAGATAACATATGTATATTTCACAAACATTAATCATACCTCACTATGGTTCATAAAAAGTCATATATGGAAAGAATTAACAATTTCCTTTGATGCTACGAACTATTCATATATCCAGGTATCTTAATGCTTAGATTAAGTATTATACTATACAAAAATACAAATGCCAAAGCGAGTCTTAACTAACATTTCAATAAATTCATACAGGAAATCTAATCATAGATAGAAATATAAAAGTATTCGAAGTTTAATTAGCTCAAAATGTCCACAAGGATACTTTTTTCTAATTATACTCAACGCGTAACCTAACTCTAACATATATAAAAAAAGGTATTAAGTGTCTAGAGCTATTCCATAATGACTTTTTTTTCTGAAGCAAAATTTTTCATTTGAATTTTACTCTTTTAAAGATTAAAACTATGCAGTGGCGCGGTGGTAATAGCGTCTGCTCAAGAGTCGCGGAGAAAGGAGCCGATCCTTACGTCGCAGGTTCTAATCCATTGCGGGACGTGGAGACCGGTCCTTCAGATGAGACCGTATAAACCGAGGTCCCGTGTCGCAGAGGGTGTTGGCACGAAAAAGATTCCTCACTGCTCAATGGCCCTGAGTGCCGGGTATAGGTTTTAATTTGCAGCCTTCAACCGGCAAGTGGTTGGGTCTCCATATGAGTGAAAAATTCTCGAGAGGGATGTTAAACAACAAACATGCAAAACTATGCAAATAAGCTGTCTGCTGCTTTTTGTGTTCATACTATAGATTTACTAGTTAACCAAGTTTAGAAGTTTACTATAGGGTATAAATTATTAGAATATAAATGGTGAAGATAACAGACAGTTATCAATTTCATAAATCAGGTAAAGAATACGAATCTTGAAAAGGACAAAAACACCGACCCCTGGAAACACCAGAGGAGGGATCAGGTGCTTTGGAGTGGAGGAGTAATCATTCCATGTCAACCAGTCAAATCCACCGTGAGCCCTTTGTATTGGTGAAGTAAACGGATTAATCCATAGTCCAAGTGGATTTTAAAAATGGCCTATCAATTGCTAGAAAACATGTCAGTGAAAATACGACCCAACGATAGGTTGTAATCGCAAACAAGGTCATTAGCTATAGAATTTGCGAAATGATGATGTTATACTAGATAGTTCAATATTTTGTATTATTAAGTTTTTTGTCAGAAGCCTACTTCTGTTTACAATTTGAGCATACTCAGATCATGCTCTTGAATATCTATTCAGTTTGGAGCCATAAACGCTATACGCCGATATGCTTACGGTAGAGAAGTTAAAGTCAGCCCGTTTCAAATAGCTTAGTTGTTAGCTGGCCATTAACGTTTATAGTCAATAAAATACCTAAGTATTGAATCAATTATGGCAGAACCCATGATGACTTTGATATATCGATTTAACATGATATTAAGGAAGAAAAACATTGTTTACAGATACAACGTCGTCGACATGTCGAGATGTTGAATCTAATCCGTTAACTCAATAAAATGTAGTTTAAGTATAAAATTACTTTTAAAGCAAACTTTCAGATCTTGGTACTGGCAAAATATGCAATTTGTATTGGACGGCATATTATGACTGAGTAGGGAAAATTAGCTAAAGTACTAAAACCTTTCTCCACATCTCAAAGTTTCATGGCATGTTTTCACTTGTATGACGTATTATCATTTAACATTAGATACTTCCATTCATATGTCGACTCGATATATTCCAGTGAAATTGATGTAAAAGATGCCATAAAGACTGACACATTTGTTTCAGATTTTTTATATTTTACTAGAAAAAGCGTTAATGATAATCTTAAAAAAACTTTATAATAAACGATAACTTCAACTTTTGTATTGTAAACTTCCCTTACTTATGTTGCAATATACCCTTATCAGCTGCATATGGAGTTCATATCTCCCAGCTGATTCGAAATGCAAGAACATGCCCAACATACAAACAATTTCTTAAACGAAGCAAGCTATTTAAAAAAAAGGTTGATGAAACAAGGATATCAACAAGCTCGTTTAAAGTCATCGTTTCGCAAGTTCTAGTCGATACTTTGACCTTGTCAGCAAAAACAATATATATCATTAAGTCGAATCCTGACTGACCTTTTTCATACTAATTGTTAGGCCATTACTTAAAGAACTGAATTGCCTATGGATTTCTTTGTTTGCCCGGTCATGACAAGGAGCCTAGGGGGGGGGGGGGGTGTAACAGGTCGACAGTGGATGCTTACTCCTCGATGGCACCTGATCCCATCTCTGATGTTTTTAGAGGTCCTTGTTTTCTCTGCCTCCGATTTGTTTTATTTCAATGGACTTTGAGCTTGAATACTGTTCGTTATCTCTGTATTTCATTGTAAGGATATTCAATTTCATTTTAATGTGATATTGATTTTGTACAAGTTTAAATATCTATATAGTATACACATATGAGACAGTTATGATCTAATTTACTGAATACAGCAGAAACAATGTCTCTGATCTTTCTCTTGATATACGGGATTTTCGTGTCCTTGTCCAGTGCCGATGTTCCCAAAGCTCACATTTTTATAAAAGGTAAGTCAGATTGGAAATTTGAAAATATTGTCAAATCATTAATTCCATGTATTAGCGGTGAATGAAATTTAATCACAAAAATTTTGCGTTGAACATTATATTGTTTTCAATTGATGGCTGTTCTTTTTCATCCCTGTGGAATTAAATAAAATAAAATGCAGTGTGTATAAATATACTTCAAATAGAACTCATTTGAACACACAGTCTCTTCAAAGGAATGCTACATTTGTAACCGGAAGTAGAACTCTTTAATAGATAAATCAACAAAATTAATAGCCAACTTGGCTTAAAGCAGTAAACTGCCTCCAGTTATGATTGTCAACCCAGGTAAGGAGATATCTGAACTATGATCAACGCTAAATGAAAACACAGTTGTAAGTTTTATAAATTTAATAAAGTGAGAATTAACCTTTGTAAATGATAACAAATAATAAATAATAATCAAAATTTAACAGAGAATAAAGTCTTTCAGAATTGCACAGGAATAAATAGTTTTATCAAAAATATAATTTAATTTGGCAAGTGAATAACAATAATCTCAATAAATAAATAAGAAGTTCGTGAAAAATTTAATAGGAAAAATGGGAGGAATGTGGAAATCCTGTGAAAAATGAAAGATGCTTAAATAAAAATATCTATGTCCCTACTGAGCCTCCATACTTATGAAAATAAAATGGGCAAAAATATACACAACTGAAAATGCCAATGAGCTGGAAAATGTAAGGAAAATGTGCTGCATCACCCAATACGGACTCTATCTATCAACAATCTAGAGTTGAACTTAAAATAATAATGCTAAATCTGGACTCAAAAAAATATGTAACCTAGAAAATAAACAACACCAAAAATAAATAATAAATAGTGAATAGTGGTTCTAGGAATTAGACCTGTTATCTACATCTCCCTAAACCAGGCTGGACTTGGAAAGGGAACCTAACTTATTTATAAAACCCTAACATCCTAACTAATCATAAAGTGCTCGCTCAGCACGTGCTAAATGAAACCTAGAATGCCGCGTACCTTGAGGTTGGCATAAAATTAGAGATAGTGTGCCATGAGGCTTATCCCTAACCAAGTGAAGTAAACTGCTCGAACACAGCTTTAAATACCCTTGCTAGGCCCAAAAATAAAAGCCAATAAACATCAAAGATCCTACAACTAACTTAACCAATCAGAACACAGCTACCAAAAGTACTATGGAAAGACTTCCAACATGGATGACACTTCCTGTTTAAAAAGTAAAACATGTGGAATGTCAACACATGTCCTAACTTATAAAAGACAAATAATAAAGGGGTTTTACGTAAGTAACAACTGAAAACATAAGGTAAATAGTATTATCAGACTGAAATACCAACAAATACTTGCAAAATATAATTTACGAAACCAGGGCTATGAAATAAAAATCTAAACCACTACACATTGTACAACATAAACTTATTTTCTGATTAGCAATGCACTTTTTCACTAACGAAGAAAGATCATTCTTAATTAAAAAAATCTAAAGATTATTTAAATTGAGTACAAACTTGATCTGATATGGCAAGACTGCAAAAATGTTTTCAATGTGTAGGACATATGGAAGAATCTTTGAAAAAACTACCTTGGAAGTGGACACACAAGAAAACATCGTACAAAGTGAATTCTCCTCTAACGATTGGGGTAGACGTTGTGTCTAGTTACAAAGTTAGGGCAGATGCAGTTGGTGTTGAAGGAATCTTTAACACAAGTATGTATATAATAAATTTTGCTTGCGTTTTCTTTTTTAAGACAGCAATTTTTGGAAAATAGTTGTATTTGAAAAAAAAATTATTTTATAAAATAACTTTTCGGATGAAATCAGCTTATAATATTGCTAATTCTTTGCTTAAATTTTATATGATAAAATTTAAAAAGCAAAAAAATGTAAATACATATAGGAAGTTTCTAAAGAAAATCCGCAATTATTGCGTTGGCTTTCTTGAAAAAAAATTAAACTTACTCTACTGTCGCGGAAGTTATGTTACAGAATTAAGAAAAGTAATTTTAATCTTTTTTTCAGTTATACAAGTTATCATGTAACTGTTTAGCTTTGGGTTAGAAAGACTGACATACTTTAGGAGCACATAATAATTCACCATGATTAATAGCGAATGATCGAATGTAAACATCACCTAATGAAATTCCAAAACCTGAAACTATGATTTTAATTCTTATTTTTTGAACGATTAGTAATATTTCTCTTGGCAACGTTGACTTAAGTGAGATATACTAAGAGTTAACGAAATACAATGTGACGTAACATAGCGTTTTTGAGTTGATACCATTTTTAAAGCGAAAAAATTTAATTCCTGTTTCAACAAAAATACGTATAAATATGATTTATTTATTCATTTTTTTTTTTTTATTAAATCCAACATTGTGTTCATTGGAGCGACTTTATTTTACCGGTCACAAGAAAAAGCGCTAAATAAAGTTATATATATATTTCAAAAAATGAAAAGAAATATCACAGTGTCCGGTAATTAATATGAAAATAAAAAATAACAAGGCAACAATGTTAGTAAAACGTAAGCGCTTTCATTACTTCTTCAGACGTTTTACAATTCAAAACAATTCAAACAATAACTTGCCTTGTTATTTTTTCATTTTCATATATATATATATATATATATATATATATATATATATATATATATATATATATATATATATATATATATATATATATATATATATATATATATATATATATATATGAGGTCGCGTGAACGATCGCAAAAAATTAAAAAAGTACGAGGTTTTTGGCCTTTTTGACCCCTAAATCGAATTTTATGGTTAAAAAGTTAATTCAAAACTTCGTTTTAAATGAAAAAAACGGGAAAATGTTGTTTATTCAGTAAAAAATCAACACAAAAAGTAATTGTCAACGAAACGCATGCTTTGTGATGCTTATTTTCTACTTTGCAATTTTTTTTTCGTGTAAGCAAACCAATAAGATGTCTTTTAAGTGGAATTCAGACCTTCCAAATAATACAGATGCAACTGAATTCTTTATTTATCTAAAAAAAAAAAAAAAACAAGACACTTACCTTAATCTCTCGGATGCTATGCGAGGACTTACTCAGATCTCCCGGGTAGATCCAGGTCCAACTCTTAACAGCCGAATAGTTGTGCAAGAACTAACCCTAATTTCTCCGATGGTGCTAGACTAACGCGAACCAGTCGATTTTACATCATAGTGCAATGAGCGCGCGGATCTTGCATATCAGGGGAAAGTCTACCCGGTTTATTTTCGGTAAACATCCTGTGTTCAAATAAAAGGATATTTATGTTTACTTATGTTTTTCAGCCAAACTTGAGTCAAATAAGTCAAAATTGTTGATAAAAAGACACAAAATTTTATCAGTCTTAGTATACCCATGTAGGGAATGCTTTAGATTTACTATATCTTTTTTGAATGCAATCATTTTGTGAAGGTCATTTCAAGCGGCAGCGTGATTGTGCTAATATTCTCAAGATGCATCCTGGGTTGAAAGGACGTGACGAAGTATACAGTATTTATCCCGATGGCAAGACAAAGAAGCGAGTGTTCTGTGACATGACTACCGAGGGCGGTGGTTGGACGGTATTGAGATAAATTTGATTATATAATAAGAAGAAATAAAACACTCCAGTTTTGATATAAGCTTAAAAAAAACTGTTTCTTACCTTCAATCAGATCATTCAATCGGTATTTCTGTCTTTAAACTTTAATATTGAGATTTTTTCCCATCAAATTCTCGCAAAATGGTATCGATGATCATTATTATTTCTGAGATCAACAGTATTTCTCTATAGCGGATATTTGCTGCATTTGTAATTGACGAATGCTCTTAATAATATGAACGGTTTGGCTAGGAATAGGACAAAAGCAGGAACACTATCTAGATAGTTCTTACTGAAATATTCTAGATATAACATGATTATTTAGTCCAATGTCATATCATCAAATATATTAAAATAATTTTTTTATGAGAATATAATTTTGCAAACAAAAGGTTATTCAGCGACGAATAAATGCTGGAACTACAAATTTTTATCGAACGTGGAAAGACTATAAGACAGGATTTGGCCAAGCACGATTGGATTATTGGTTAGGTAAGTAAAAATCCTGAATTTATATGAAGCTTTTTCATCACAGATGTCATGACTGATACTACACGTACGTACACGTACGTACACAACTATCACAAAAATTGATGAATACAGAAAAAAACGATTTAGGACATGGATGGTCACTTAGTACGGTACAGAATATACCGGTAAAAATTTATCTGAAATTTGCGTACACAAGCATAAGCAAGAACATGTTGATTCAACTCATAATGTGTAGGGTGACATATATTTGTTCTTGAATGTAAATACTTGTATTTACATCTTAAAGGGAACGATGCAATTCACACTCTGACCTCCCATTCAACGCAGGAACTCTGGGTAGATTTAGAACAATTTTCCGGATCTAAAGCATATGCCAGATACTCGAAGTTCGCCATCGATGGTGAAAAAAACAAGTACAAATTGTCAATCAGTGGCTATAGTGGAAATGCAGGTAAATTATCATTGTATAGACGATAAATGCTATGAGGGATTTTAAAATGAATACTATATAGGTATTTAAACTTGTACAAAATCAATATCACATTACAATCATATTGAATATTTTTACATGAAAATATGAAGATAACGAACAGTAATCAAGCTAAAAAAGTCCATTGAAACAATACAAAGTGGAAAAGAGCATACACGGATCATTAAAAACATCAAGGTGTGATCAGGTGCCTTTGAGGAGTAAGCATACCCCGTCGACCGGTCCAGCCCGGCGTGTGCTTCTTTTCATGACTGGGCATAGAAGAAATCCGTAGACAATTCAGTTTGAAAATAATGGCTTGTATGAAAAACGTCAGTCAACATTCGACTTAATGGTAGATTGTACGTATTGTTCGTATTTTAATTTATTTAAGCGATTGATTTGAAATTTCTATGTTTAATTCCATATCACATTTACTTATACTAGGTGATGGACTCAGACATCACAATGGAATCGTCTTTGCTACAAAAGACAGACCTGACAGTTCAAGTTGCACCAAAACGAATCAAGGAGCTTGGTGGTATAATGGATGCTATCATTCAAATCTCAATGGACCGTACCAAAAATCAGCCTTGAACACATACACAGCAATTGTATGGATTCCATGGAAAGACAAGACAGCCTTAAAATCAGCACGGATGATGATTCGTCCAAAAAAATAATGTTGGTGTACAAGTTTATTCTTCTGAGAAATGTCTTTAATTTTTTTAAAATTTAATTCCAATAAAGTGAAGAAAGTCTCTTAAACTTCAACTTTACTTAATAAAGTTTCACAGCTATAAAACTTAACACAGAAAAATAGTAGTCTTGATAATAGTTCTCATAGTTATTTAAGTGCAAAGTTCAAACCTTGAAGGAAAAAAACAACAATAAAAGGTAACTAATCTAGACTCTATTTGCCCTCTTTGAAAACAATTTCGATACCCGAGTATGTATGTTTCTATCTTGCAGTGTCACTGAAAGATATTTTACAAGGATGAAGATAACGAACTGTGATCAATCCCGTAACTCCCTGTAAACGAAAGAAACGGGAACAGGACTGGACATAAAATAATACTATCGTAAACTACTAAAGTAAATAAAAGTTTTCAAAGCGATAACTATAGTAAATCAAAGACTCAGTGATAACTAAAGTAAACCAAAGTGTCGAAGGTATCACTATTTTTAAGTATAGTTTCCATGTGTCAAAGTTATTGGCAGTGATAACTGTAGTAAAACAAAGTGTCAAAGTTGTAACTAAAGTAAATCAAAGTGTCAGAGTTACCACTATAGTTCATTATAGTTTCCATGGTGTCAAAATCATCACTATAGTTATTGATAGTTTACTATAGTTTATCCACCGAACATGTAGTGGAGAACCAACCAATCATTCTCTTGAATCCACATCTTATTCTTTAGATATCAACTTAACTTCGAATTACTGGATTATTTTTGACAACAGTTTTTGGAATTTTCAGGACTGATAGCAAATCATACAGGTTTGAATTGAATTTAAAAATAAAAAAGAAAATTACTTTCAAGAGGTTTCTATGATTCATTTTCACAGAGCTCCTTTACCCTTATGAGAGTTCCACAATTGTATACTTATCTTTATCCAAATTTTGAATCCATTTTTTTTTCATATGGGTGCATAGTGCGGGGATAAGGGCTTGGAGGGCGGTGAAGGTTAATATAAAAATATTTTGACAAGCAACAACAATAAAATATAAACAAACATGCCAGGACTGTCAAAGTTCTATTCAACTGGGTGGTTGATGGTTGTAGAACTTTCGATATCTAAATGTACAAATCGTCAAGATTCTATTCCGGGGGAGAGGGAGGTGTAAAAACATCCTAGAGCGACTAGTGATGCTCTCCGTACTTTCAGTTTACTTGCAAAATTGTGATATGTATGCTACTTCACGTTAAACTATAAAGGTATAAATTCAAATGGTCATTTAATTTTGAAATTACATTATTTAACAGGTTGGAGAGAATACTCGAAATCGGGTATTATCCGTGAAATCGCGTATAGTCCCCGATATCAGGGTATCGTTGAATCCGCGAAATCGGGTATCCCGTGCAACTTTCTGTAACAGCAAAAAATTGAAACAACGGCGCATAATGTCAGTTAGTGTTACATGTACATCAGTATCTTGGGGATTTATTTTTATTGAATCCAATTTATATGGTTGTCTGACAAGTTTAAAATCACACGACAAACACTGCTGGGGTAGCACAGAAGACACGATAGCGTCATTATTTTTCAATACAATTTCTAAAAATAAATAATTACATGTCGTTTGTGTTTATTTCCTAAAATATTATTCCGCAAGCTTAATTTCCTAACTCATGTATTATTCACAAAATGTAAAACTTTGTAGAAATTTAACGACTAACGCAGTGTTATGTTATTTTTACTTAGAAAAGTATGGCACCCCTTTCACGTTAAATTAACATTATTCCTCAGTTGGTAAGTATTTCCCATCGATATAGAAAGCCGACGTTATCGTTAGGGGAAAATAAAATAAATGTTAAAAAAAAAGAATATATGGGGAAGCAGGTCGAAAAATGATATAATATGAAACAAATTTTAATATGTACATGTACTTAAATAGATTTTTAAAAATGTATACAGTGTTTAATTTCTAAAAACGAATAACTACACATCGTTTGTGTTTATTTCCCAATAAATTATTCCTCAAGCTTAACATTGAATGTGTCTTTGAAAGACACATTCAATGTTTTGCTTGCATTTTGATCGATGCAAGCGACGTTACTTTACCTGTATGTGTTTGTGTGGAAATTGAGAGCAAGAAGTCATGTTAAAAGGATTTTTTGGCTTGGGGGGGGGGGGGGTTCATATAAATAAAAAAAATCCAATTCGGATTCATGTGCTAATTTTACATTCCCAATATAGAGCTAATATTCAAATATGAATTTTATATTAAAGATTTCACATATCTTATTTTGTAAATAATTATGAACAAACTGAAATGGAACCTCGAATGTAATTCTTCATCGGATATTAAAATTTCATCATTATATTTAGCTATTTTCAATACTTGTCGTACGTGGTAGAAAATAACAGGTTGCTATTTTAACCTCGTATTGTTTTGGTATATAAGCAATTACTGCATGAATTAATGTATTGGAGATATGAAGAATTCTATTCACTCAAAAGGGCAATATAGGGAATATGATTTTTATTAGTTGAACAGATCTTCTCCCTTTATCTTGCAATGAATATATAACATTCAATGACGTTTAGCACCAAACTCTGTAATGAAATTTTATATATATTTTTAAATTACTTTGAAAGGGGGTGTCCCTTGGACACATGCATAACACATTCGAAGTCGTTTTTTGCTTGTCTGAGATGGGCCGAGTAGTTGCGATCGGACAAGAAATAATTGAAAAATGAATTTTTCCCTAGTAATCAGTAATAACAACCCCCCGAAATCGCCGAAAAATGGTAAAATATTGCCGATTCAGCAAAATTAAACGATCAATAGTTATTTTCTCTCACAAGCTGTGTTGCTAAGAACATCATTGTTGTTGCTAAAACGTTGGAGACATGTTGAATCCTAAGGAAATTTTAATATTTTTTTTAATTACCTTTATTTGTCATTCTCTTTTTGTAAAGCATATGTACTGGTACATGTACATGTACAAGATATATATGGAAGGAATGCAATTCTGCAAATATGTATATATGTAAATGATAAAAAAATCAACTCATGAAAATAGATTCGTGACCCCCCCCCCTCCAAAAAAAGAGTACGTATGTACGTATTATATTGGATTTTTAGCCGTAATTTGAAACATCTTTACCATAAAACAGTTTATACATTTTATAATAAATTTGACTTTACGCACAAGATGAATGTGAAAGCAATTAATGACGCATAATTGGATACGATAGACAGTCCCCTGTTCACACGTGACATTATTTAGTGTGTGAAATATGTTTCCGTATAATTTGAGTTATTTACAAAATGTTCATGTTTGTCGTATTGATGTGGAAATATTATAAATTCCCGACATTGGATATTTTACAGTTTTGTTGTGTTGGGTATGAACTTGAAGAAGTTGCAAAAACTTTTAACATTATAAAAAGTATAAAGCAGAAGGAACGCCTGTTTGGGTGAAGATCATGAAATGCACAAAGCTCCACGGGTTTTTGTCGTCATATGCGCATTAAATAAGACTTCCAGATCGTTACTTGACTAGTGATACCTTAAGATAACATTCATCTATAGGTGAAAATTGACTCGGTAAAATGCGCCATCCCATTGTTTAAGTTTTATAAAGTAATTACACCGCCTATACCCAATTTCGCGGATACAACGATACCCCGATTTCAGGGACTATACGCGATTTCACGGATAACACCCGATTTCAAGTATTCTCTCCAACCTGTATAAGTAAAGATATTTAGACACATTTAGTATATTTTTTGATTAATTAGGAAAAGATATTTATGTTCTTGAATTGTATGTGAGGTATTAATATGCGTGTACTCTTGCTGATAAGAAATGTTTTTGTTTTGAGATTATTTGATTTTATGATTGTTGTAAAACTTCGCTGTGAATGTCTTAAATGCTACTATAATTGTTCAATGTGCGGGTAGTATTAATGATTTGACTGCGGAGACATTCAGTTACAAAGAAGGACTTTTTGGATGAGGATTTTTAGCAGCTCAATGTGCACTGAAACCAAATTTAAACTTTTTAATTAGTGATCTAAGCGTTTTCCTATAACTAGCTATTACAACATTCTATCAATGTAGAGTTTTTTAGGAGGGGGGGGGGTGACTGTGGGAGTAACAGCAATCAAACAGAAACCTTGTTCCCATTTAGGGTAAAAACATTACTCTTAACATCACTAAATTACAGACATGCAATCTTAAAGTCTAAAGTAGTTACATGATTGATTGTTGTTTAACGTCCCATTTGACAATTTTCACTCATATAGAAACGTCGCCGTATGCCGGTGAAGGGCTTCAAATTTAGACCTTTATAAGTACTCAGGACCATTGAGGAGTGAGGATTCTTTGTCGTGTCAACACCTACCATGACACAGGACCTAGGTTTTTAAGGTATCATCCTTAAAAGCGGTTTCATAGTTACATGTTACATAAACAAAAATGATGAAGAATGTCTTTAAGACATCACTACATATACATAAAAATTTGATTTCCTTTCAGCTCATGTTGATTTCCATTTTAGGTAACGAGATTCCAGATAATCAGGGAAAAGAATTTTTCATTGGTTTTATGGAAGCTGACAAAGCCTTGACAGGAGATCGTTCTGGGCTTCCATTAAAACTATTTATTACTACTGCTTCTCATGTTCCCGTGAATGTTAATGTTTCTGCTCCACAAACACTCTTTATCCAGGTCACCAATTTACAGTGCAAGAGGGAATAATAAAGCAGATATTAATTCCAAGGACCCTCAGATTACAGGGAACAGAACAAGCGCAGAAAGCTATTTACTTTTATCATCCCAAGAAATTGTTATTTTTGGAATAAATCAGGCAGATATGTCGACGGATGGTTTTCTTGGAATACCTTCTGATGTTTTAGGAACTAAATATTTCGTTCCAACATTTTCTTCAAATGCACAGAATTTCTTCCAGTCATCAATTCTCATAGTCGGAACAAGGGATGGAACCATGCT